GTTTATACTCCGGCAACAGAGGAAGAAACCTTTTCTCTCCAAATGCAATCTGCCAAAAACAATCCCCTTTCTCTAACAGTATCTCACGTACTTATACAATTTTGTTACTCATTCACGCACGCGATTACTAACTAACCACAAAACTAATTCTTCTTTCTTCTCCCATACACTTGCCACGTCTTAGGACTTTTATTTACATCTATGACCTGTTCTCCTTCCATGTGTCTAACACAATGTTACATGGAAATTAGTTCCTCTTCCACCTGGAAAGAAGACTGTTGGTTGTCGTCGGGTCTCTGCCATTAAAGTTTGACCAAAAGGTAAAGTTGATCGACTCAAAGCTAGATTAGTAGCAAAAGGCTATACTCAGATATATGGTCTTGACTACAGTGATAATTTTTCTCCTGTGGCCAAAATGACTATTGTTCGACTTATTTTTGCTAAGGTAGCTATCCGTCATTGGCCTCTTTATCAGTTAGATATCAAGAATGTTTTCTTGCATGGTGATCTTGAGAAGGAAATTTACATAGAGCAACCTCCTGGTTTTGTTGCTCAATGGGAGTCTAATTTGGTTTGTAAGTTACATCGTTCTCTCTATGGTCTCAAACAATCTCCACGTGCTAGGTTTGTAAAGTTTAGTCACATTGTTTAAAGTTTTGGACTAAAACGAAGTGAAACAGATCATTCTGTCTTTTATTATACTACTTCAGAAAAATGTGTTTATTTAATTGTATATGTGGATGATATAATCATTACAGGGGATGATGTTGATAAAATTTCTCTGCTAAATAAACATTTATGAAATCACTTCTAAACTAAGGATCTTTGTTGTCTCAAATACTTTCTAGGGATTGAAATGACTCAATCAAAAGAAGGCATTGTAGTCTCTTAAAGAAAGTATGTTTTAGATATCCTGAAAGAAACAAACATGATTGATTGTAGACTAATAGACAGTCCTATGGATCCAAATAAGAAATTAATGGCGGATCAGGGTGAACCGCTCTTTGATCCTGAGATATATAAAAGACTTGTTGGGAAACCCATTTATCTCACCATTACTAGACCTGACCTATCTTTTGTCGTTGGAGTTATGATATGAGTCACAAGGGGTGATTTAAGATCTTTAGGGTTAGAACCTTGTAGGAAATTTAGGAATTTAGTGATAAGGTGGAAGGAAAGAATCACTCTTCCCAAGGAAGACAACTCACAAAGAATGTGAAAGTCCTTTGATACAGTCTAAGGGTTCTTGAATCACTCAAGAATTTAGAAGAATCACTCTCATTAAGATAAAAGAGATAAACTCTAATATTTCTGAATAAAATTCCAGTTATTTTTTATAAAAATGGTTTAGCTTATATAAAAGCTTTGTCATCAGAATTACAAAGATTCAATAAAGGAAAATAAATGCTAATAATGATTCATTAACCTAGGAATTGAAAACTACTTAATGGAGACGAATAAAGGCTAATAATGATCTATTAACCTAGGAATTGATACTACTTAATGACTAATTGTAACTGAAATTGTGGCAACTAAAAGTCAATCAGCTATGTACCCTCTTGGTCTCCCAAAGACTGAAAACTAAATTTCCAATTGGGCCCTTATTACAACTTACAATAAAACCAAACTAAAGTCCATTAATTGATTAATCCAAAACACAATTTGATCAACCAACAATACTTGTTGAAGAGTTTCGTTTGCTTCCCTTGCTCTAACCCTTATCATAGGTCATGTTCACATCATTCTCTCCCTCTTGAAAAGGATTTGTCCTCAAATCGGATTCGTCATCGACATAAAAAAAGAGATAAGTCTGACAAATTGAATGTAGTTGTTAAAGAGCTTCATTTGTTTTCCTTGCCCTAGCTCTTATTATAGGTTATGTTCACATCACGTTGTCAGTCAGTTTATGCAAAATCCGCGTACTGATCATTGGAATGTTGCCGTTCACATCCTAAAATATCTTAAAAAGGCTCCAGGACAAAGTCTGTTGAATGAAGATAAAGGGGGTACCCAAATATCTGGGTATTGTGATGCTAATTGGGTTGGATTCCCTATGAACAGACGTTCGACTACAGGATATTGTGTTCTCATTGGAAGCAACATTATTTCTTGGAAAAGCAAGAAACAAAATGTAGTGGTCCGGTCTAGTACTGAAGCTGAATATAGAGCAATGACGTCTCTCACTTGTAAACTAGTGTGGATGAAACAATTCCTTCAAGAACTGAAATTTTGTGAGATCCAAAGATGAAGATGTATTGTGACAATCAAGCAGTTCTCCACATTGCCTCTAATCTGGTGTTCCATGAAAGGACCAAACTATAAAACTTGATTGTCATTTTATTCGTAAAAAATTGTTGTCTAAAGAAATTTGCACTGAATTTGTCGAGTCCAATGATCAACTTGCAGATGTGTAGACAAAGTCTTTGAGAGGACCTCGAATTGAATTTATTTGTTCCAAGTTTGTCATATACAATTTGTATGTTTCAGTTTTAGGAAGAGTGTTAGAATTATTATTAGATAGTGGTTAGTAGTTGGTGGTTGGTGGTTGTTTTTTTAAATGCTGTAATCTTATATATATATATATGAGATCATAGAGTGGAGTGATACATCCCACTGAATTATAAATCTTCTTTTAACTCTTTTAGTGTAAAATAGTTTTATATTAACTTTGTATTTAAATTTAAACTCTTATAGCTAAGGCAAGTAATCTAAGATTAAATCTGCTGCGTTAAGTGCAGAAATGTTTATTCCAGTAGTTCAGGCATATAGCATATTGGATTGCTGATTCCAAAGTGCTATTTGACAGAAATATTATTGAGCTTTGTTTGGGAAATACAAGTGTAGAGTAAACAAAAATTAGTTATCGGTGAAAGTGAATGCATTAAGTTAGCCATCTGAGAATAACAGTAATAAAAGCTGTACTATGAAAATGATCAAAGATGATCTGATACCAATATGCTGGATACTCTATGTATACATATCTGTGGAGTATGCAAGCCATATTTTCTCACTTAAGTTTGTAAGAATCTGTCACATCTGAGTTCTCCTTGATACATGTTTGATTTAATGTGTGAAATTTTCAGTTTTCTGATATGTAAACTTTCCAGTTTCTGAAATATGTTACATCCAATACCAATCCACATCTTCTCTTATTTGACTAAACATTGGAAGTATGAAATCAGAGCACTAGCTAGTTGACGTGGGATCTCAACACTCCCCCTAGGCCCAAAATTGGACATTTGGATTGGAGTACAACACCCCTTCAGGCCTGAGAACAAGCATAGGCAAATATGGGTAATCTAATAACAAATCTAAGATATACTTTCTCAGAATTTGGACTTATGGCTTAATATAGTCTTACAAAATCAACTTTTTTGATGAGATGGTTATCATATTGTATTTGAGCATCATGGGTGATATTCCACTAAATAGATTAGAGGAAGACCAAGAAAAGCATAAAGAAACACTTGAAATAGACTTATATCTATGGGGCCTATGTGAAGACTTGGGATTAATCAGAGCACAATGGCCTTTTTTTAGTTCATGTAGCTAATCCACCAAATCAAGAAATGCTTTTGTTGTAATCGTTTTTCTTCTGCTGTTATGCATGTGCATTAGTCAGACTAGTGTAACCTTTCCATGTTAATTTAAGTCTCCTCATTTGTCTTCATGTTAGATTTTCATTTTTATTTATGGAGCATATCCAAAATTTTGGTAATGTGCTTTACCAGTATGCTTCTGACATGTTTGTTCTCGTCTAAGCAAATGCTGATACTTCCATTATCTTATCTTTCTGTTTTACGTTTAATCCCATCTTTTTTGCTGTTATAAACAGATCAGGGCATTCAATGTGAAGAGGCAGATACAGCTTGGACGTTCCTACTTGGAAGATGCATGCTTCCAAGTCATCTTTGTCAAGGGTAGATATACTCGATAAATAATTAACCATGTTAGTCTTTAAGCATGGCCCACCTTTTGGCTTTGACGTATATTAGTCAAGTGACTTTTGATCATCGTACACCATTCCTGATTTTAAGGGGAAAATTTTTAATGAGCTATTTGTAGAATTATTGTTTTAGGGAATGACCATGGGCACTAAAAAATATCATTAACATTCCCTGATGGCTTCTGTGATTGTAATACAGTTAATGGTGATGTTTATTAGAAATTATTAGAACCCAGTTATGAAAGTTAAATTCTCCAAGTATAAAATTTCTCATGCTTCAATGAAGGAGTTCATTCGATTTAAGAATATTCTTGCCTTCAAGACTAAAGATATAAACACTTTCAAATATTTTCTTGGCATCACTCTTTGTAAAAGAAAATATTGCTCAGAACTCTCCCATGAAACCGTGTTACTTGGCACTAAGCCCACCTAAACTCCACATGATCCCTTGGTTAAATTACAGCAAGATGAAAGCAATGCTTTATAAAGAATACTTCCTCTGTTCTTATTTGTTAAAAAAACCAAGTTTTTTGTTATCACAAATTTTAACTACTTTTATTCTATTTAATGATATTTTATTAAAAGAAATACTCTTAACATTAATTGAATAATGTATGACTTCTGGTTGCATTATTATTTTATGCTATTAATATCAAAGACAATTAAGAAAAATAATAAGGGATTAGAATATTTAATGCCTAATCTCTTTAATCTATGTGAATTTATTTATTTTTATCTTTGAAGTGAAAACGGAGGTAGTATGTACTATATGGTACTATACTAATAAAAAAGTATATTATATTCTATATAGAAACAATTGAATAAAAGTGGGATCAACGGCCTAACTGGCCTTACCCTATAGCCCTGGCTTTCTCCTTATTATTGTTGTGGCAAGTTACAAATTGATTTGGTTCCATTTGTTTAACATGAATAAAATCATTGGTCTCTTTGATGACAAAGTTGATGCATGTAGTCACCATCACTGTTCCCCCCGATAATCGATTACAACATCCCAGAGAGATGTTACATGCGCCTTGAGCAAAAATGATTGATATCAGTGTAACTGATCTGAGGGTGTTTTCTTCTTCTCAGCAAAGAATGGTTTGAACATCATTAATATTCCAACAACTTCAACTATGTTCAGGACAAAGAACACCATATGAGTGCCTGCAATCAAATAAATGTGCATCAGTAACTAAGCTCCTAGCAAAAGAATCAATGCTGTTAATAACTACATTGACATCATGGTCTACCTAGACAATACTTCATTTGCACCACATACATACTGTCTACTCAAACACATTTTGTTCTGCATTTACCGTTTTTTTGGTTTAGATAAATAGAAATAAATGCAATATCTTATGTGCACACAGATTAAAAGCTTCTGTTATTAAAGGCTATAGTCAAATAAATTAGTTCAGACTCAAACCTGGGAGGAATGAAGCATCCATCCGCTTTTGTGACCAAGTTAATCTGCATTACCATGATCATATAAGAAAATTGGAGATAATTCTTAATTATGATACTTGTGGTAAGAAAGTATGTGGCTAAGAACTACTAATGAAAACTTTGCCAACTGCTAATGGATCAAAGTGGAGTGGATTAATTTCTATTAAATATCTTAGTATGCCAACAAGGGTAAAGGGATACATTGACAAGTGACATGCTTACCAATATCTTTCAATCTACTTCACTAACAGTTAGGTATGAGAAAAAACATATTATAAAGGAACTTAGCATGCAGTATCGAACAGATGAGTTAGATTAATCTTCTATGTAGATCAAATGAAAAACCTGTATATTACTATGCAAGTATATCTGACATTTCTTCAACTGACAGGTAAGTGGAATAAAAGCTGAACAAATCACAGGGACACTCACACTGCACCACCTGCAGCAGGGCCAATAGCTTTGAATAGAGACATGGCTGTCATAGCAATGCCATTAGCAGCCCCCCTTTGGTGTTGTTCCTGTTTTCCAAATGAATATGTCACATGTTTTACAGTTCTATCAACACATAGCCTCAACCATTGTATAGAACGGGAAAAAATGCAACTATCCAAAAATTTACCACTGCTCGGTTTTGTAGGAGGAACAAACCAGTAATAATGGTGGTCTAAATCCAACAAAAAGAGTACAATCAGTCAAATTGTAACATAAAAACTATTCTGAATCAACTTAAACCCTCAAAATCACTGAAAAACAATTAAATTAATAAAGAGGTGCACTTACAGACAGAATATTCTTTAGAATTGAAGCAATAACTACGACTACGTATACTGCGACGCCGGACAACAATGCAATGAAGGGGTAGCTTTGCAAAAGAGGTATTGATAACATCTGCATATGGGACCCAAAGTAATAGAACATTTTTTTCAAATAACAAAAAAATGAAATGGTAAAATGAATAGCTACAATTTTATGAAAACTAACCCCTGTAATGCGCCCAATTCCAACAGGTCCACAAGCTCTTTCCACAGATGGATATACCAAAAGTTGGTAAATGATAAGAGCAACACCTAAACATTTGAGGAGTAATTATAGAAAAGTGTCAATTATATAATTGGATGTCAAAGTATGAGAGTTTATAGCTCATCTTACCTACGTGAAAGATTTTTATTGTCTATCTTAATTCTTGAAATATGATTTATATATTTATTGGACAACTTTCTTTTAATGTCAATTAATTTAAAGTTGAAACATGATAAAATATCATTATTCATAACTCATCTATTCTGATCGATTCACCATCGATATAATATGCATGAGTTCAGTTTGACCAACTCAATAAACAATTGAATTACTAACTTTTTGACATCTAAGTCATTTTACCATATAAAACACCTGACTATTTAGCACATAAAAATATAATATTTGGTATGTCTATAACATACTTATGTGAATTTACAAAGCCACATTCGGAACATGGTCTAGGTCAAGGAAGTCATTCTCAAGACAAACTGAGTTATGACAATGAACAAGACATGTCTAAACATTATTTGACCAAAGTTTGGCAATCCAAATTAATGAAATTCGGTAACAAGACCAACAAAATAATAAAACCCAGAAGGAAGTTACGTATGGCCTCATATAAATGCATAAAATTTGTGTGTAATCTTTGTAGATGGAAAGTTAGGAAGGAAACAAGTATGCTCAACAGTAATAAGCATAATTTGTTAGTTCCAGAGATGCACCTGTTATTGAAAGAACATTACCAACATCATTAGTTGAGAAGCTCAAACCCCCTAGCTTTCGAGGACTGACAGCCCATAATGAGAAAACCTAAAGAAAGCAAGACGAATGAATGTTGTTCACTTAAACATGAAAGAATAAAAATCAGGAAAATCTAAACAACATATATTAAAGGAAATGCATAAATCATTTCAAGTACCAATGCATGATACCTCTTGATAAGCAATATCATGAAGTGAGAAAGCACAATAAATAATGATAGATGACATTAAGGGCCAATTCAGGAGGAGGTTTTCCTTCTTCTGGATTATCATTTCTTTGTCAGCTCCACTGTTTCCATTTTCTATAGCTTCGACATCGTCTATGGACTCACTGCTAGAACTGTGGTTGTGAAGTGTTTCCTGTAGATTTTTTAAACAATTATATTGATGTGGGAGACAGACTGAACAATATAGACAATAAAGATGGTTGAAAACTATAGACATTCATCATAAAATTGTTACAGGGTACAAGCCACAAAACATAAAAGAGATAGAAACGTATGTAATCAACGAAGAACCTTGGAAACATACCGGAATCCAGAAACAGCAAATAATTACTATAAACGCTAATGCTGATATTATAAGGTTGGGCAAGCAGTATGGAAACCTGCAAAATGATTTTATGTTTTGGCAAATGAAAATCATAACATCACTAAAGGATAAAATGATAAAAAGATGAAGAGAGGAAAATTGAATCCACTTACTTGTCCCAAAAGGAATCCTTTGGAAATACATTTGGGTACTTCTCTACTGGCTACAATAAAAATTTTCCCAAAGTATTAGATAAACATGTGATAAACGTGCACATAAATGTGAAGTTGAGTTAGGCTTAAAATGAGATTTTTAAGATGAAATTAGAGTTTATTTTAGTGAAGTTTGTCATGCCTATCATATCACCTGCTATCTGACTAATCTGACACTCAAGATGTCTAGTTCTTGGTGTGAAGGAGATATTGAAGATTTCATATCAACTAGAAATATGACTAAATTGTAGTATGAAAATGGATGCAAACCTTATCTTCCAAGCTGGTTCCAAACATTGACGTTTTGGATAAGCCAAAAGTCTTTCAATTAAAAAACAATTCACCTTACAACATATACAAGATTAAAGGCGTTAGGAATTAGATGGTACCTGAGCCAAATAGCCTCCCAATGCTGGGCCAATGATTAAACCTGTGCCCCAAGCTGCACTGACCTAAAAGCGAATCACACTATGAATTATTATTGTGGAAATGTAGTTCTAAGAACTAATAGGATAAAAGAGATGATGTGCTCACAGTTGAGAGCCCTATAGCATGGTGTTCCTCTCTAAAAATTTCAGTGGCATAGGCCTGTCAAATAGGAGTTAGGCAAACAGATGTGTACACGGAAGTTTGAATGCGATTCATGAAATATATGAAAGTGCTAACTATTTGGTGTTAAAACTATAATACCTTCACTGGTCCAAGCATACCATTTAAACTTCCCAGACAAAATCTCGTAATAACAGCCATCCAAAAACTTGTGCTAAAGCCAAATAGTGTGTTGAAAATGACACTGAAATAAGGTAAACATTGAGAATTATAGGAAGCTAAACAACTTAACTTCAAGAAAACAATAATTGATTGACAGATATACTTACATTACAACAACCCCTATAACTATTACAGGCTTTCGACCATAGCGATCAGCTACCATTCCCCACAACACAGATGTCAAACATCTGCCAAGCATGAAAGCAGAACCTACAACATTTTTTTTTCCATAGATGCATTAACAATAAATATCTTGCAGGAATTGTTGAAGAGTTAAAAAAAATGGAAATACTAGAAGTAAACTATCTTACCCACATAACCAGCATAATAACTAATATCAGCTTCTGTTTCCGCAATATTAAAATCCCTGACCTGAAAATAAATGTTTCATTATTGAGGAATCTGGACGTGTATTATGTACATCCATGACATAAAGTTAAACATTAATCACAGCTCTAGTTTCGTAATAATTTCATAACAAATGACAAAGCAGAACGCGGAGCAATAAGCAATTAAAAATTGACTTAGGCGAGTGTAACATGTTGCAATTTATCAGTGCAGTACTCCAATATTATAAAACCAATTTGTTATATTATGCCTAAATGTGATGATTATACAGTGAATTGATACCTAAATTCATTTTTGAAATGCTAAAGAGATGTTGTGAGGGTTGAGCGGAGGTTCTCTTCATATCTTCATTTTTGAATTATGAATAAAAGTAAATAAACACTGAAAATGAAGTTTAAGAACTCAAATAAATGTGTTTCATAGTCTTCTAACAATGTCACAATATCAAAATATACATCGAGTTCAATTGATAGCTAAACTCACCATGAAATAAAGGAATGGAAAGAGAGATGCTATTGGCAGTGCTGTAGAGGACCAAGTAAAGTCACATCAGAGCAGACTCAGTAGTTTCAAATGATTGAAAGAAACAAAATAATGCCAACTGGTAAAACATAGAAAAACAGATTTCTATGGTAAAACATAGAGCAGACTCTTTATTTTTTATATTTATTTATTATTTATTAATAATATATTATTTCCCTCAACCACGAAATCCCAACAACACAGAACTGGAACAACCAACTTCCCAGAGGTTAAAATGCTCAAAATAGAGTGAAATGCTTACCAGTATACAACACCAACATCCATATGATAAAAAGATTTCTAAAGGGTACACCTTGTCCCTCACTCAGCTCTTTGGCTTGATCGACTTTGCAACCGGGGCAGTTCTCGTAGTACTTCTTCCTCTCCAACAATGGCTGTTTAACATTCTCCTCTCCCATGTTTATGATAGAATAGGACCCTGCGACTTGTTTCACCCAGGTCTCTCTTTCCTACACCATTTTACATGCATAAATCATTATCAGAACAGATAGCCACTTTGTTTGAAGTACATTATGGAGAATCAAAAAGGTTGAGGAAACGAACATACAAGGAGAATCTCTAGGACATATCCTTGCTTTGATAATGCAAAAAGTAAACATGAGAACACAACTCTGTTCTGTCACAAGTTATACGATGACAAATGACGATTACTCTTTCGTACACCACGGTAGACGAATGTTAACAAAACCAGTGGCATCATTGCACACGTCAGTAAAAAAAAAAGGTGCAATGGGGGCAATGATGAAAGAGGAAAAGTCTTATAAGAAATAATTACTATTGGGTATGAAGCTATTGAATCTACGTATGCATCATGATATGATTAAAATAGAGAAAATAAGTAATAAAAAAAAACAAAAAACAAAAGGGTGTTACATCAAGGGACAAAAGGTGTGGGAAATGAAGACGACGTAATCTGTCAAAACAGGGATTAGTTCCAACGTTTGAAGTGTATCCAACCTGCGAGTGACGAACTTTTTCTCCCCAAAAACCCCTTTGTCAATTTTTTTTTTCTCAAACAAATCTATTTCCATTATAATTATTTAACTAGATTTTTTTTAAGTCCGAATTCGATTCCTAAGAATCGAATGCTGGGAGTAATTTTATCCATCTTGGTCGGATAAAGAGGTTCAAATTTGGCTTTTCGGAGGTAAATTTTGACCTGGGTTTTATTTATGTTTTTCTTTTTCTTTTATTTGAATATATTTTAAAAAGAATTTGCAAATAGATTTTGAAAATTATATTTATTTAATAAATTAATAAATTTATCATAATTATTATAAAAATATGTAAATTTTATTATTAATAGCAGCTAATATTAAAACTATTGATTATTAATCACGGCTACTATTAAATATTAATAATAAACACATTTTAGCATAAAATTAATAAACTGAATACACTGATATTAAAAATATTTAAATTTTATTTTATAACCTTAAATTAAAGAGATTGATTACAACATTAAAATTAAAATAATTTTATCATACAAATATTGTATAAATTATTATTATTATTAATTTAAATTTATAAGTGTAAAAATTATATTTATGATTCTTAATTTAAACTTTTCTATTATATGAATTGTTTTATAATTTTGTGAAGAATTTTTCATTTGAATTTATTACTAATAATATTTATATTAATTTATTATAAAAAACATTTGTTTTATTGTTAATATAAAAAATTGGTAATTTATTACTATTATTATTATTAAATAAAATTTATTAGAAAAATGGATAAGTATTATAAATATATTGATAACTATTTTTAAAAAATGGAAATTATTATTATTATTAACTTAAATTTATTATAAATAATAAATATGTAAATTGATTCATAATAAGTACTTAATTTATATAATATTGGTAAATTATTCAAAGACTTTTTTCACAATATGAATTCATAGTATATGATATGGAATTTGTTGAAAATTTTTCATTTAAATTGATTATTATTATTATTATTATTATTATATTATTATATTATTATTAAATATACTAAGCTATTAAAAATAAAATTATTATCAAAATTTAATATATAATTCTTAATTTAAAGTACTTTTATTAATATTAGTTGCTTACATTTTTTAATGGGACTTTTTGAAAAATCTTTTTATTTAAACTATATTAAGTTAGTTAATTAAGAATACGTTTGACAGTTTTTTTAGGTAGAATTATTTTTTATCGTAAATTATTTGAAATGAACAGAATACTTATATCAAATTTTTAAATTTCATTTTACTTATATTAAATGAATAATAATACTTATTAATAATAATCATTAATGCTTGAAAAACCCTAATTAACACGTGTAATATTGGTATAACTGAAAAACTCAACTGAAACAATTTTACTAAAATATCTCATTTACAAGTCAACAAAAATAATTAATAAATAAGTACATTTGCAAATGACAGTTGCATAAATTTAAATTAAAAATAATATTTAACTGTAAAATTAATAATTTAAATTTATTATTAATAACATATTTTAACAATATTCATTATTAATATAATATTTTTTAATAACGTTCATTATTAATTTTAATAAAAATCATTATTAATTCATTAAATAAATACAATTTTCTAAATCATAATTTTCATATAATTATTTTAAAGTATATTCAAATAAAATAAAAATCATTTCAAAATTTTACTCCAGTCGACCTTTTTCTCGATGAAGATGGAAAATATTACTTATTGGTTCTAGTGAAAATTTGGTTTATTTTTTATGTCTTAAAGTCTTAGCGTCTAACCAAATTTTAACCACGCAAATTCTTTTTATTTAGGATAGTAATCAATTTCCAATCAAAAAGTGTATATAAAATCGAGAATATGAAGATATCGAACAAAATAGACGAAACCAAATGCGTATATTAGAAACACTGAAAGCGTGATAAAACATACATATCGAAATCGAAAGTACTTTTTTTGTATTTTTTTATATTAAAATACTTGAGAAGATGAAATTTAACAAAAGTAAAGAAAGTAGTAAAAGAACTTCGAGACAACAAAGTAACGCATAAAATTAAATTACACTAAGAAAAAATGACATAAATTAAAGTGCGCATAAAAGTAATCGACAATACTGGAAAGTAAATTAAACGTGCGAGTAAGTAAATTACTGAGAAAGTAAAGAAAACATTAAATGCATAATCTTAAACTTGCATAAGTGTAAATGACAATGAATTTAAATAACATGAAAGTAAAGACACATGAAATTAGATTGCATTAAAGATAAAATACCAGGGAAAATACAGAAAGTGGTAACAAAACTCAATGAAAATGGAAATCCAGATCGCCAGAAACTTTATGATTCGTCGTTCTCCGGTAGACTTTTCACTTATGTTTATGTTGTCTCTGCCAATTTCTCCTTTCTCTTCACGCTTCATTCTATTTATAGGCTTGCTTCAACGTAACCTCCTAAGAGCGGTTTAGAAACCGCTGCCACGTTCCCATGCATGAGACAACTACTTTCTCGATCTTCGATCTTAGCCACGGTTCAAAAACCGCTACCCATGTGCACGCTAACTACCTCAATTTCTACTTTAGCCACGATTTAGAAAACTGCTTCCTATGTTCCATGTGCGCGTTAACCGTTCTTCGATTTCCAACTTAGCCATGATTTAGAAAATCGCTTCCCATGTTCCATGTGCGCGTTAACCGTTCCCTCGATCTCGATTCTAGACATCGAGTACTTTGAACTGCTTTTTGACTGCCTTCGATATTCATCATTTTTACTCTCCATCATGTCATCGATTTTCTCCCATTCGATTCTCGATCAATATTTCCATACTAATATATGGTCATCGAACAACTCTCGATTTCACATATCGATTTCCTTCCCACCAACACGATCATCGAATGTCTTCCAACCACCTTTCGATTTATCTATCGATTTTTTAACCAACATATGGTCCTCGATTTCCTTCCATCCGCTTTTCGATCCATATATCGATTTTCCTAATCATCGAATTTCTTCTTTTGATTGTCGATTCAGATTCTCGATTTTTTCCACCAATAAAATGCCCCCTTGAAAGAATAGAATATTTGTGCAAAATTTTGTATTCTTTCAAAAAATATCTATTTCAACTTTTTCCATGAAGTCATTCCAACTTTGATACAATCCAAAAAATCGACTCCTTGTGCACGAAAAATCGAAAAACCAAGAAAAGTAAATACTCCTCCTATCTTCAAATATCTCGAAAATTTTTATCGAGAATGCTACAACCCTCTTAAACTTAATTCTCTAAAACCCAAAGGCAAAGAAATTTCGATATCGAGATTATCATTCTACCCTTACCTAAACACTCCTGAACATTTCCTGTCGAATCAACTAATATATCCCTAAAAAATGAAAATCCATCTATCGAACAAACTTCGATTTTATTGTCTCGAAAGAATGACCATGTTCCTAAATACATCAAAATATCGAACTGCTATGGAGGAAGATCCATTCTCGATTCTCGATATTTTGTTGTCTGAAGATGATGTCACTCCCTCAAGTCATTCATCTCAACTGCCCGTGACATCGAAGAAATCCTTATCGCTATCGATTCATTCCTCGATGACAATCTCCCAAAGAGCTTCGATGTCTGAAGTAACATTATACTTTAATCAATTATGAATGCTTATTTCCCTTATTCGAGGTTTATAATCTTTTAAGTACTTCTCGTTTATCGAAAGTACTTTTTCTTTACTATGTCAATCAACAATCGAATAAGCATTACCTAATAATACTTTAACAATTTCAAAAGGCCCTTCCCAATTCGGTGACCATTTGTCATAACTTTTAGACTTCTTATCCATCGGAAAAATCGTTTTCCAAACTAAATCACCTTCGCTAAATATTTTCTGTCGAACTCTCTTGTTATAACCTCGAGCAATTTGACTTTTTTGTAAAATAATATTATTCAACGCTTGCAATCTTATCTCATCAAGTTCATTTAATTCGTCATACATCAAATTCCAATAATCGCAACTGAAAGTGATGAAGATCTTATTGAAACACTCTGGCAAAGATCTTGTTGATTTGATGAAGTCAAGAATGAAGTCAAAGGCAACTTTGTGGCAGTCAAAAGTCACTTAGATAAAAGAGTAGAGGGATTAGTGTGTCTGCAGCTCTGCTTAGGTATAATCATTTTTATCTTTTCTGCTGCATGAGGTTTCTTCACTTAAAAAGATTTTGCAATTGCCTCTAAAAATTGTTTTAACCGTTAAAAACAAAACATTTTGACAAAAGGATTTTTAATCAACTATTTTAACTGATAGTATATGTGGTTTATCAACTAAAATGTTCTTCACACTTCTATAACAAGTTTTTAACTGATATAATTTCGAAATAACCGATTGTTTTCATTAAAGAAAGTTTTGAAAACCTTCTGTCAGTATTTTAACTGATACAACTTCGAAATAACCGATTAAAATCACTTAAAATGTTCAGAGAAGTGTTTTGGCAGTATTTTAATCGATTCAACTTCGTTTTAATCGATTAATTTCAGTTGGGATACTGTATTACCGATCAGAATGCGATTATGACCGATCAGAATCAGATATGATCGATCGGAATTTAGTTATGACCGATTAGAATTATTTCAATCGATTAAATTACGTTTCAATCGATTAAATCAACTTAAGAAAATTTATACTACGCGTTTTAATCGATTAATACGATCTTTTATCAGTTAAAATCACTTGAAAAA